GGGAAGACGCAAACTACAGCTGCGCGTCGACGCACTCTCGACGCACTCTCCATTGGGGAACCCCAAAGGTACCGATACCGCTATTCCCCGGACCTCTCCCGGGATGCGTTCTGACCAGGACTTCGAGGCGAATCCAGCTGTGGTGACGAGGGCCGCCCAGGAGGCCGAACGATGGGAAAACAAGCGAAACGAAGAGGTCTGGGTATACCTTTTCCTCTGCCGATCCATGGCTCGTTCTCTGCAGCCCGAGCTTGCCACGCCCTGGCGTGCGAGCTCCTGGCTCCGGGGGCCCTGGAGAAGAGCGGCCCCTCGCAGCTGGGGAGGGCCCTGGCGCCCAGCACCCGGAGCTTCAGCTCCAGCGCCTTCGGCGCTTCGACCTCGAGGGAGGATCACGTCCGAGTGCCCACCAGACCACCCCAACGAGACCCGAAAACCCGAGTTTCGGGTTTGGTGATGGGCTCGTTTCCAACCGCCACCACTGCATGCTGGAGGGGGAGGGGGTCCTCCTCCTCATCCTCCACCTCCTCCACCTCCACCTCCTCATCCTCCTCCTCCACCTCCTCATCCTCCTCTTCGTTCTCCTCCTCCTCCTCTTCCTCCTCCTCCTCCTCCGCCTTCCCCCCTCCAGCTTATGGTGGCTATGGTGGGGTACAAGTTCCACGCGTGTTGTTTTTCACTGTTCCCCGGCACCCACCCCCACTGGGAGATGGAGGGCACATCGGGGCCGTCGGGTTGGGGTGGGGTGGGTTGGTGGGCGGTGAAAGTCTGAAGCAACCGCGGGCTTCCCGGGGTCCACCTCGCAGCCCAGCCTTCGGGGGCGGATCCGGCCGTGGCGACGAGAAGCACCGGAGAGCGGCCCGAAGAGGACAAGCAGGCGCTCAGGAGGGCCAACCGCTGCCTCGATCCGCCCATCCTCCTTCGACGGCGCGATCTCTGTTCCCGACGCGGGCCCCCAGAGGTCTGGGCCACTTGCCCAGGGCCGGCTTTTCATCCCAGAGGTTGCGATTTTTGTCTGTTTCACGACGCGGACGACCAGAGATCTGGACCCCTTGCCCAGGGCCAGCTCTTCATCCCAGAGGTTGCGTTTTTTTTTGTACACGACGTGTGCCCCCAGAGGTCTGGACCCCTTCCCCAGGGCCAGCTTCCCTTTGGGTGACCCAAAAGGGGGTCCAGCTGAAAGAGGGTGGTGCAATAGATTTGGTGCAATAGATTTGTGGGGTTGCAATACATTTGGGAATGCTCCGGCGCCCCGGAATGTATTGCACGCCCCCAAACGTACTGCAACCCCACGAATCTTGTGCACCAAATCTTTTGTTTGTTTGACGAGCAGGGTCGGGCGACAAGCGCAGCCGCAAGCGCCCCTAAGAGGCGCCCGACTCAGTCGGGCACCTTGGGGAGCTGCGCGATACGCCGCGCCGCCAGCGCCGCGAATTCGGATACGCTGCCCCCCGCGCAGCGCGCGTCGCTGGACCCCCTTGTCGCTGGACCCCCTTTGGGGCCCCCCCGATTCTCATCCCGAGCCGTTGTTGGACGGTCCTTGCAGGGCCCGGTGCGGCCCCCCCGAGGCCGAGGCCAGCGAACAAGAGACACCCCGCCCTGCAGAAGGCGCGGCGCAGCAAGTCCCGACCACTTCCCGTGCAGGGGATCGTCGGGGACGGGCAGAGCCCCCCTTGAGGGGCAAAGATACAGTCGGCCTTGATTGGACAGGACACGCGAGAGGACACAAGACCCTTCCGAGGGCCACATCGCCATAGGAGTGTAAGAAGGCACGTGTCGCGGGGCACAAGACATGCCCTTGAGCTGGCAGGGTCGACCTACTAATCTCGGCGATCAATCGCAAATTGGGGGTCGATACATCCCTCCCTATGCCTATCCCCCCCTATCGTTGCCCCCGACCAAACCTGGCGGGCGCAAGCCTGGAAAAGGACGGCGGCGGTGCCCTCTCGAGAACCGAAAAAACGGTCAAATCACTCACCGACGTGTCAGGGTGGGGGCTCTGTCCAACCCCGAGAACTACCGATCCCGGGTCAGTCCATTCCCGGGTCGTTCAGGATCCTGCGGGACCCTGCAGGATCCTTCAGGATACTGCACGGTCCTACAAGATCCTGCACCCAAGCCCCGGGTCAGTGCAGCCCTGGCATTGCAAGATCCTGCAAGATCCAGAGCGCTCTGACGGAGCCCCGCTTGCATATTCGATGTGCCTGTTTCCCGCCACCACTATGAGTTGGAGGGGGCTAGGGGGTCCTCCTCTCCCTCCTCTTCTTCCTCCTCCTCCTCCTCCTCCTCATCCACCTCCTTCCCCCCTCCAGCTCATGGAAGTGGTGGTGGAAAACAGACCCCTCCATATCGACCCCCGCGTCTGGAGCCCCGACCACCTGGGGCCAGCAGCTCGCCCCGGAGCCGTGCCTGCTGGCCCCCTTGGAGCCCCAGACTGGCCGGGCCCCGGAGGCCGAAGTCTGCGGAAGACGCCGGGACTACGGTCGGGCATGCCCCCTCTGCAGGCGGATGTTGGGCAAAGAATAAAAAGTAGCCAGGACATGTTGTTAAGGTGTTTACTAGCATTATCACTATTATTATCCGTGTTAATACTATTCTGAGTATCATTCGTATTCGTATTAGTAGCATCATTACTATTGTTAGTATTGTTATTCGTATTCAAATGATTAGTAGTAGCATTGGAATTCGTACTAGTGTTATTCATAATGCTAGGATCATGCATATTATTCTTACTATTAGTAATATTGATCGTACTCTTTGCTTTCTATATAACACCAACAAACAAACACATATTTAAACAAACGCCCAAATAGTTAAAACAAATCCACAAACGTTTCTTCCAAACTATTTTAAGCTATTCCTCATGTAGAGGGACAAGCCCGACTGAAACGCACGATCCCAAATCGGGCCCGAGAGGCCGAAGTCTGCGGAAAACGCCAGGACTGCACAGAAAAACAGCTCGCCGGAGAGGCACGGGTCCGACGACCGAGTCCCCGCGCATGCACTCGGGCTTCAGCACGTAGCCGCAGCCGCCGTTCTCGTGGGCGAACCTATGGAGGCCTCCCAGATGGAGTCCGGCCAATCTCGGCGGCGCGCAGAGGGGGGTACTTAGGGGGAGGGGGCTAGCCTTCTTAGAAGGAGGCCGCTTCCTAGAGAAGGCGCGGGCATTGCACGTATAGACGAGGCCCGCGCCTTCGGAGAAGTAGGGGTGCTTCTAAGAAAATGTCCCCCCTCCCCCTATACCCCCCTCTCCGCGCGTGGCCCGACAATCGGGATCGGAGGATCGCGCCGCATCGCCAGTGCATCGCGGATGCATCGCCGATGCATCGGCGCAATCGGCGTGGAGAGATGCTGCATCCAAATCGAACCGCATCATGGATGCGTCTGCGACGCGGAGCTTGGAGGCGTCTGGGGCTTTTGAACTGGATGGGCCCAGATAACAACTGGAAAGAAGAGGAGATATGGGCAAATCCGCTCAACAAAAAATCCCTGGAACCCTCCTCGGGTCAATATGGTGCAGCTTTTCGTACCGTATCTGTTTGCGACGGTCCCCTGGAGGCCGAACAAGGCAACGAAACCACCTTGCCGAACCCAACACCTCGAATCTCACCCACGCCCTTCCTGATCGACAGAACCAATGACGGGCCACCTCAAACCCCCAACCGGCTTCGATACGGAACGATCCTTTGACCCCACCGCTCGGCATCGCTCGGACGTCCTTTTCACGTAGATGTCGATGGTCTCCGCCGAGAAGAAATGTGTTGCATCTTCGGGGGACCTCGTCTGCCCCGTCGCGCCCCCATCCGCGTCGAATCCGTTTCGAGTCCGGGTCGCCCTCGTCGCATCCACGCCAAATCCGCGTGGCGTCCGCCTCGAACCCTCGTCGGGCACGAGAAAAGAAACCAACACTTCAAGACAGACGAGGTCCCCCGAAGATGCGACGTGAAAACAAGTGCACACGCCCGAACGATGCCGAACACCTGCTCGGACCCCGTCTGTGGGGAAGCCACAAGGTACCGATACCGCGACTCCCCGGACCTCGCGCGGGGTGCGTTGTGAACAGCATCTCGAGGCGAATCCAGCGGTGGCGACGAGAGCCGCCCAGGAGGCCCTACGAAGGGAAAACGGGCGAAGGGCAGCAGGATCAACATTTTTTCTCGGCTACACGTAAGAATGACTCTGGGTAAGAGTGACCGTTGGTGCGCGGCTGAACGGGGGACGCGGGGTGGCCAAACCTGGGCGCGCAGGCCGCTGCTACCGCTTCGCTCTCCGCGATCGGGGGACCCCATTGGGCCTGCACCAAAGGTCACTCTGGCGAAAAGTCACTTGAGCAGGGGCCGACCGTCCCGGCATTCCTATAGTCCTACCACGAAACATTCTTAGAACCCAAGAATGTTCGAATAACAAAAACAAGTCTTCTTAGAACATCAGCCCGATGTGATAAAACAAGACAGCCCCAGCCAGAAATGTTCTAAGAACGTTTCGTGGGAACCGCAAAAGGTTCTTAGAACATTATTTGGTAGGACTACAAGCACGCCAAGACGCTTCGCCACTGCCTGAGTCACTCTTACGTGTACTCGATGTTCCCTCCTCCGAAGCTGTTCGGCCCAGAGAACCGGCCGGCCTGCACCAGCGGGGCGCCCTCTGCTGGGCCCCCGAGCGCCAGTGCGGCCAGCTGCGCGCCCGCGGCCCACGCGGCGGCCAGGTTGAAGTTCGAGGGCGCGCGCCGGGGCGCCCGCGGGTAGACCAGGGAGAGGTGCCTGGAGAGCAGACCAATGGGACGCACAAAGACACACTAGTACTATGTGTTCTCCTTGGAGGCGCGCGTCCGACCCAAACAACATATGGTATACCCATCTTGTCGTATATCGTTTCCCGAGCGGTGTGGCCAGAAAGCGCCCCTGGGAGGGTAACGCGCATATAGTATAAGTCTGTTGGGGTGACGCCGAGACCAAGGCAACGCTAACGGCGATGTTGGTCCACGGCGAAGCCTGCATGGCTGTTACCTGCATCGCCGTTGGCGTGTCTACAGTTTGTTGGTCTGCGGGGCGAGAGCGAACCTCTTCCCGTAAAAGCTAGGCGGGTTGGCGTGTCTACAGATAGGGGAGGGAGAAGAAGAAGTGGCATGAGCATAACCTTGCGGAACTGCGCGCGGATTTCTTTCATGGCTGTTACCCGCATCGCCGCTGGCGTGTCTACAGATAGGGGCGAAGAAGAAATGGCATGAGCACAACCTTGCGGAACTGCGCGCGGATTTCTCGGATCCGCGGTGGGGCCCCCGTCCCGGGCGCGCGGAGCGCGCCAGCTCCGCGGCGACGCCAGAGGGGCGCCGCCAGGGGGGGGCCCGCCGCAGAGCCGAGAAGTCCGCGCGGAGCGTCGGAAGTGTGTGTGTGTGTGTGTGTGTGCATGCAGTGCTTTCTCCCTTCTCCCCCTTCCCTTCCCTTCTCCCGCCCTCGGCCCCCTGCGCCCCCCCCCCGTCGTCCTCGTCTGTCGTCCGTCGTTCGTCTGTCGTGTCGTGCCACTGGGCTCCGTCATCGCTGTTTTTTTTTAAAGTGCATGCAGCGCTTTTCTCGGAAAGGGCTCGGGCCAGGGTTCTGCTTTAGTTGGTTACCCGGCAACCTCGACTTGCGCAGAGCCGGCGAGATTATTCTGCGGTGGAAACGCAACACAGTCTCGCAGGGCTGGCTGGCGAGTTAAACAATTGAGGACTCCCGAGCGAAACGCTGGTGTTTGAAATTCCGATCGGTAGGACATGTGGTAAAGTCAACATGATCGTTTGTTGCGGATGTCTCCAGCGAAAGGCTTGCTTTGCAGAATGTGTTGAGAATGTCTCGAGCTGAACGCTTGTTTTGTGTTATAGATGGTTCCTCTCCTGGGGAAGGATTCAGAAGATGTATCAGGTGAAATGCTTGTTTTCACGTGCCCAAGTCTCGAAGATATCTCGAGCGAGACTCTTGGCTCACGCGTCCAGGTTACCCGGGCAGGTGTCTCGCATGAGGAATTGTTGAGGATGTCTCGAGCGACACGCTTGTTTTCACGCGTCCAGGTTGCCCAGGCAGATGTCTAGCATGAGGAGGTGTTGAGGCCGTCTCGAGTGAGACGCTTGTGTTCACGTGTCCAGGTAGACAAGGCGAATGTCTAGAATGAGGATGTGTCAAGAACGTCTCGACAGAAACGCTTGATCTCACTTAGCCAGGTCGTCCAGGCGGACGTCAAACATGAGGACTGGTTGGGGATGTCTCGAATGAGACGATTGCTTTCACGTGTCCAGGTCGCAAGGTGGATGTCTAGCATGAGGATTTGGGCAGGATCTCTCTAGCGAACATATTTTTGTTCACGCGTCCAGGTTGCCCAGCCAAATGTCTAGCATGAGGAGGTGTTGAAAACGTCTCGAGTGAGACGCTTGTGTTCACGTGTCCAGGTCGCCCAAGAGGATGTCTAACATAAATACGTGTTGGGGATGTCCGGACCGAACCGCTTGTTGTTCACGTCTCCAGTTCGCCCAGGCGGATGTCTAGCATGAAACCATGTTGAGAATGTGTTGAGCGAAACGTTTGTTTTCACATGTCCAAGTCGCCCAAGCGGATGTCGAACATGAGGATGTGGGCAGGATGTCTCGAACGATCACGCGTCCAGGTTGCCCGTGAGGAGGTGTTGAGAACGTCTCGAGCGGAACGCTTGGTTTCACGTGTCCAGGTTGCCCAGGCGGATGTCTAACAGAAAGATGTGTTGATATTGTCTCGAACGAGACGCTTGTTTTCACGTGTCCAGGTCGCCCAGGCGGATGTCTGACATGAGGATTTGTTGACGATTTCTCGTGCGACACGCTTGTCGCAAGAGAGTGCGTACCATTCCAACCCCGCCCGTCCGTGGGGCGTCCCCTGGCGCGCTGTCGCGTCCCCTGGCGCGTCCTTGTGCGACGTTCTGGAGTGACGTGCCCTGGCACGTCCCCTAGCAAGCCACTCGGCGTGGCACGTTCTCTGGCTCGTCCTCTGTCACGTTTCCTGGCTCGTTCTCATGCGTTTCCCCTGCCCCGTTCCATGGCGCGTCCCTTGCAACGTCCCTTGGTAAGACGTCCTCTGGCCGCCCCATGGCACTCGCCTTGGCACGTCCCGTGGCAGGTCCCTGAAACGTCCAGGGCGCGTCCCCTGATACGTTCCCTGACACGCCCCCTGGCGCATCCCCTATTGCGCCCCTGGCACATCCTGTGGCGCGTCCGTGAGCCTGTGCCCCGTGTCGTGTCGATATGTTTCGGAGCTGAGTCGGATTTTGAGATCGAGTTGGTTGAACGTCCCGCACGTTTCCACTTCAACTAGCTCTGGGGCAGCTGTTATGTGCTCAAGAAGCTCGAGCTTAAGATCCAGATCAGTTCGGACAGGACTCGGATGCAAATGAGGACTCGATCCACAACGACGTACAACACAATCGCGGCATAGCACATCGCAATCCAGCTCGGCGCAGCACAGCACATCCCTTGGCACGGTACATGAAGGTCGATACACTCAGCATTGCATTTGCCCGTCGCCCAATCAGGTGTCTTTGAAACGCTGCCATGCCTTACATTTCTACATCCCTTTCTGGGTTTCTACAGGCACAGCGGGCACCTGTGGTCGTCAGTCTTGCTGCCGCAAAAGCTCAAGACAGCTCCGCGCAGGAGTGAGGACGAGATGGCTCGAGAACGCACAACATACTCGCTACTCCCTGGGCCTCTCCTTGGGTGCGTTCTGACCGGGCTCTCGAGGCGACTCCAGCGGTGATGACGAGGGCCGCCCAGAAAGCCCCCAAAGTGAAGAACGAGAAAAGAGTAGGGGTATGAGTACCTTTTCCTCCTCTGAGGCACGCTGCCTCCTCGCTCGAACTACTGACTTCTGCCTAGCTCGCGCGAAGACCTCGTGGTGTCACTTCGCCAGTGCATGCCGGCAGGATGCCCAGAGGCGCTGCGCCACGCCATGCCGGCGACAGAGGGGCACGCCCGTCGTCGAGGTCTGAGCCCGGACTTCGCGGGCATGGGCTTCGGTCGGGCACGTCCTCCTACAGGTGCCTTGTCGAGGAGAAACACCCCCGAAGAACTTCAAAGCAAATGGAAAAGAAACAAGCGGAAACTCGTCCCCGGACTATGTTTTGACTGTTTTTGAATGCAGATCCCGGAAAAATTCAAAACGAATGCAAAAAACCAAGCGGCAAATCGTCCCCAGACTATGCTCTAACTACTGGGCCGACTTAGGCCTGGACTTCGTGGGCCTGGGCCGCCGGGGGATGAAAGAGACTTCGGCGGGGCGCCTGCCGGCAGGCAACGACGTCTCGTGCGACGCGCCTACAGTGAAAACGTATAGTACGGACGCGTGGAAAGGACGCGAGACCCTTGGAGACCGAAGTTGAAGTATTCTGGGCGGCAGGCGGCCTGGGTACCCTGAGAAACTGGCCTGCGAAAATTGCCAGGGACGGGCCGCAGAGGCTGAGGCAGGCAAGGACCCAAGGGCACCCTTGAAAAAGTCGTTTGTCCTTACTATGCGCGTTGACTGTACTCCTTACACACAAACAGAAACTTTGAGTCGGGCGAGTCCCCCTGCAGGCGGCTATTGGGCGAACAATGGAAACAACATAGATATATACATACATATATGTATGTATGTACATACATACATACATACATACATACGTACATATACATACATACATACATACATACATACATACATACATACATACATACATACATACATACATACATACATCTTTATATATGTATATAGAGATATATGGATATATGTCTCCCAACCGGGCCAAAATAGTCAAGCAATCGTCCCCAGACTACCGTTTCACCATCTCTGGATATTCCTCCTGTATAGAGGGGCACGCCCGACGTAAGCCTGCTGCACACACACACACACACAAACGTAACCTGCCGGAGGCCCGCGCGGGACCCTCTCGCGGGCCGGCGCCGGCGCCCCCCCCCCCTGCCATCGCTCGGACGCCACCTTCCCTGTGCGTGGCTCGGTTTCGCGCGTGTCGCGTGTGTACTCCTGCTGCTCGCAGGAGGATCCAAAAGGCTCCACCGAGCATCGTGTATCCGATCCCTATCCCCAGCGGCGTGGCCTGGGCCCCACTTGCCGATTCGCCCTCCTCCTCCTCCTCCTCCTCCTCCTCCTCCGCCCCCATAGGTCGGGCCATTTGGTGGGGGTCTCGAAGGGGACGGGGATGGGGACGGGGGTCGGTTAAACAAAACTGATCCACGATGGTCCGCGCAGTGGGCAAAGTGGCACATGTCCAAGCGATGCCGAGTCCCTGGCGGCGCCTCCAGCGCTGCCCCCCGGACGCGCGCTGCGCGCGCCCGCGGGCGGGGAGGCCCTGCGCCCATCCCAGAAACCCGCGCCGACCTGGGAACGTGTAGGCTTACATTGAGCAGGGACCGACCGTCCCAGCATTGCTATATGCCTACCACGACATGTTCTTGTAACAACAATATGTTCTGAGAACAGGAACAATGTCAGTATAACATAGGCCGATGTGTTAAAGCAAGACAGGTCCCTACCAGAAATGTTCTGATAACATTTCGTGCAGACCAACAGAAATTCTCAGAGCATTCTTTGGTGGGCCTCTAGGCGAGCCAAGACGCTTCGCCAATGCGTGATTACAGTCGGACCTACGTAGAGCAGAAACAACTCCTTAAGGCTAGGTCCGGCATGTCCCCCTACAGGGGTATCTTGGACGACAGAAAATAAACCGAGCCAAAATATGCGAGAACATAGTCAAACAATAATAGAACAATCGTCCCCAGGCAATTTCTCTCTTTTTGAAGATTCCTCCTGTAGATGGGCACGCCCGACTTAACCTTAAGGATGCTCTTCTGTCCTGCGGGTCCGGCCGGCGAACGCACCGCCAAACCTGAAAATCCTTCGAGGGAACCCTCCCCCTGGGAGGCACAAGAACATCCAAAACAAGCACGGATAACCTCAAGGTACCCTCTCCGAGCCGACCTCGACCTCATACCTCGGTCCGACTGTATGTGGTGCTTCCTCGTATTATCGTTCTCCGTCTCGTTCCAGAATCAGAAGGCAAAACGGCATAAGCACAAACTTTTGTCGCTGCGCGCGGATGTCCATGGCGTTTGTCCTTCTTCGAGCTTTCTCACAGCCTCCTCCTCTTACGATCCGTAGTTGCAGTAGTGTTCGCATTCTCGTCAGTATTGTTACTGTGACCTGTCCTTCGTCTTCGTGTGTCGCACCCCTGGCAAGCGAGGGGCGGGGCGCGAAAAAAAGGGACCGGGGCCCGGTGGCCTCTGAGGCCTGTCGGGGATGGACAGACCCCCCGTTAGTAAAACGTGGTTCAGTGAAAACGACCTCGGGCCCAAACCTGGCGGGCGCAGGCCTGGAAAATGACGGCCGCGGCGCCCTCTCGAGAACCGAAAACGCACAATTCACTAATCGACGTGTCACTGTTGGGGGTTCTGTCCACCCCCAACAGTGACACCCCGACTCGCAAATCGAAGTTCAACTTATGGAAAAAAGGGGCCTCGTTCCTTATTTGGGGTTCCTTGGGTCAAAGCCCCGACTGTAGAGCGAATCGTGCGCCGCGCTGGGGGCGAGAACCCCATCCGGAAAAGGCGCCGCCCTCCACCCTCGAGAGTGATACAGGTGCGGCCCGCGCTCCCGAGCCAGCGCTCGCGAGCGCGGGCCGCTTCCCCGAGAGCGGAGAAGGAGGAGGAGGAGGAGGCGGAGGAGGAGGAGAAGGAGGAGGAGGAGGAGGCGGAGGAGGAGGCGGAGGAGGAGGAGGAGGAGGAGGCGGAGGAGGAGGAGGAGGCGGAGGAGGAGGCGGAGGAGGAGGCGGAGGAGGAGGAGGAGGAGGAGGCGGAGGAGGAGGAGGAGGCGGAGTCGCGGCCAGGCGCTCGGCGAGCCTGCCTCCGCGCGACGCCCCGCCGTGGCCGGGGGGGGGGGCGCGCGGGGTGCCGCTCTCCGCCCTCGGCGGGCCCCTCCCCCGGGTGCCCCTCGCTGGGCCTCCCGGGAGGCCCGCGCCACCACCGCTGGGGTCGCCGCGAGGTCCTGGCCAGACCGCGCCCCGTGGAGAGGTCCGGGGAGGAGCGGTATCAGTGCCCTCTGGCCTCCCCACTTCCCAGCGCCACTCGCTGCACTGAATCGCAGATGCTGCGTCGAGCGTCCGTGGACTTGCGTCGGACTAGGGTCGAACCTGAATCGAACTAGAGTCGAGCTAGAATTCGGTCGGGCATGTGCCCCCACAGGCGGATCAAAAATACCCAGAACTTACACCGAAAATATTCAAACATGCTCAAAACATCGTCCTGATAAGATTTGTTGTGTATTTTTTAAGGTTCTTCCTGTAGAGGGGCAGGCCCGACTTAAAGTCTGGGCCCTGCAGGAAGCAGGGGTGGTTCTCTAGGAAGCCTGCGGGTGGTTCTTAAGAAGCCTGCCCCCTCCCATGACCCCCCTCCCTGGATTCTAGGAAGCCTCCCCCCCCTTGATTCCGAGAAGCCTTCCCCGCCTCCCCTTCCCCCCCCCCCCCCCCTCTGCGCGTGGCCGACGCTGGGAGGCGCCTGCAGTGGTGCTCCGCGAGCCACGCGGCCCTGGCCTGCCCGAGCCTCGCCAGCCCGTCGCTCGGCAGGAAGCCCACCGCGGTGGCCGTGCCGTCGGGGCCCCCGCCGGGCGCCTCTCGGGCAGGGTCGGGCAGGGCCTCCTGCGGTCGGGACGTGTGAAGGGGCCCCAGGACACACAAATAAATACACACAAATAAAAAGATCCCCCATATTTTCCCATATTTTCTGGGTTTTTGTCTTCCCCCCACATCCCATATTTTCCCATATTTTCTGGGGAATCGACGATTAATTGTGTCTGTGTGTTTCTTTCCCTCCTGAACGTGGACCTAAGGGACCCTGCAGAAGGAACGAGGCCCCTTCTGCCCAGAGTTCGATCTCCCGGTGACAACCTAAGGAAACCACGCCAACGCAGGCTGTGAAACAATCGAGGGGCACGGAGCCCCTCCCCAACGAAAAGGGTGCCTTCTTCAGCGCCCCCGACTGTGCAGGCGACTTCTGGAGGACCACTGACAAAAAATCTTCCCAAACTCATCGAGAGTATTGGAGGTCTGGAAATGGGCACCAGCACCAACACAGGGGGTTGCCACAGGGGGGAGATGATGCTAGACTTCGGCCACCTTGGAGGCCAGAGTATTACCACCATCGCCGAGATCCGGATCGTCTTCCCTCGGTGGATGCACACCGCCAAGATTGGTGCTGGTGTCAACCTCTAGGCCTGCGAGAGTAGCCCAAAATATTCACATACATTGCGAGGTATTGATTTTTGCAGGGCGGCGTCCCCCAGAAACCCCGACCCTTTGCCCGGGACCGGTTTCTCATCCCGAGTCTTGTTTTGACGGTCCCGAGGCCCGGCGAGGGCCCCCGAGGCCGCAATCGGCCAAAAACCTCCCGCCGGGATCTTTTTCCAACGACGCGAGATCATGTCGGGGCTAGAGACATCGCCCCCGGACTACTTCTGGGCTGCTCTGGAGCATCGCCCCCCTGCAGAGGCGCAGGCCCGACGGAAAGCCTCGGACTGCCGCGAGGCGGCTTCGCCGGCCGGGAAGGCGCGCCCGCGCCAGGCCGCGGGGCGGCCGGGGCGCTGCTCCAGGGCGGCCAGGGCGGTGCTGGGCGCGTCGGGGGCCAGCACGACCACGACCTTGCCCCTCGCCTCGAGGGGAGCGCGAGGCGGCCCCAGACGCGATCGCGGCGCAGAAGGGAGCAAACACACATCAGGGCGGGAGGTTTTTGGCCGATTTTGCGGCCTCGGGGGGGGCCCTCGCCGGGGCCCAGGGGCCGTCCGAGCACAAGACTCGGGATGCAAAACTGGTCCTGGAGAAAGGGGTGGGACTTCCAGGGACCCCGTCGTAAAGAAATCAGGACGTCGCATGTCTGGGGCCGCCGGGTGGCGCCATGGGAGCCCCAAGCCTGGCACCTCCATCCCCCACGACTTCTCAGGGGAGGAAAGCGCACTCCGCTCGGGAGCTCCCGGGCGAAGGGAGCCCCCAGCCCCCATGAGAAATCGTGGGGGGTGGGGGTACCCATCGGTCGGAAAACGAAAATAGAAGCATGAAGTAGGAAGGCGTTGAAAGTAGAAAAATAGTCTGGGGACTATTTCTTAAGTTGTTTGACCATTTTGGAGCATGTTTGGAGTACTTTATTTCTCGTCGAAGCTCCCCCGGTAGGGGGACACGCCCGACTTAAGCCTAGATCGACGTGTCAGGGTAGGAGGTCCACATCCCAGAAATAATTTCGAGCACCCGGCAAAGTGTCGAAAGAGTGTCGAAACAGTGTCTCCCAGGGCCTGGCACGTGAAAACCCTCGAGCTTTGGGGTACGTTCGAAATTATTTCTGGTGATCAAGGCTAAAGTAAATTGTAAAGGGGCCCTGGGACACACAAATGAATACACACAAATAACAGGATTCCCCTTATACGCTTCTATATCTTCTTGGTTTTCGTCTTCCCCCCCCCCCCCCTTCGCATGTCTTCTCCTATTCTCCTGGGAATCGGCGATCAATTGCGTCTGTGTGTTTATGCCCCTCCTGATTTCTGGTGATCCAGGCTAGCGCCAGTTGGAGCACCATAAGCCAAGGCCTAGATCGGCGTTGCCAGGGCAGGAGGCCCAGCTAACTTCGACGTGTCAGGGTCTACCAGCCTGGGACACATCCCTATCCCTGTGCTGGGCATCTCCTCATCACGATGCCCATCTTAGGGCTTAGGGATTCCCTCCTTCGTCGAGGGCGCGCCCCTAAGATCGCCATCGCCTCTTGGCGTGTCCATCGTAGGGACAGGGACGAGTCCGAGGCTGGTAGAGGGCAGGAGGCCCAACAACCTTCGACGCCCCGCCCTGGGCGCGCGGAGAGAGCGCGCGGGAGCGGGGCGCGCTCCCGCGGGGGGCCGCCGGGCGCGCCCGGGAAATCCGCGCGGGGCCCCTGGAAGCCTGCACGTCGGCTCGACGTTGAGAACAGGCATGCCCCTCTGCAGGAGGAGTGCCCAGGGGGTAGTCCAACAAAACAATCGAGGGACGATGCTTCTGATGTGTTTGACTCCGGGAATCCGCGCAGGGCCCCTGGAAGCCTACGCGTGGGCTGGACATTGAAAACGGGCATGCCCTTCTCCAGTTAAGTCGGGCCTGTCCCCCTACCGGGGGATTTTCGACGAGAGATACAAAAGATACCCCCAAAATAGTCAAAAACATAATCAAAAAATAGCCTGGGGATGATTTTTGAGTATGTGTTTTGACTTTTTGGGGGCACTTTTGGGGTATGTTTTACTTTTCGTCGAAAGTCCCCCTGTAGGGGGACAGGCCCGACTTAGCTCTACAGGAGGAGTGCCCAGACATAGTCCAACAAAACAATCGAGGGACGATGCTTCTGATGTGTGTTGACTCTGGGGGCGACGCGTCTGATATGGATATGTTTGGCTATGTCTGCTTCTGTTTTGCCAGTGTGTTCCTTTGTCCTCTAATCATCGCCTGTAGGAGGGCATGCCCGACCTAAGGCTTGGCGGCGCGCGCAGGGAGGTAGGCGGGAGGGCGCGGGGAAGACTTCTTGGAAGGGCGCTGCCTCTTGGAGGCGTGGGCCCTGTCTACCGACGCAGGGCCGGCGCCTGCTGAGAAGCAGCCTCCGTCTAAGAAGCCTTCCCTGGTCCCCCGAACCTCAGGTCGGGCGGGTCCTCCCACGGGCGAATCTTGGAGGAGAAATGGAAAAGAGTCAAACAAAACAGAAAAATAGCCAAATATATAAGCAAAATCGTCCCCAGACTCTGTATGGACTATTTTGAGCATTCCTCCTGCAGAGGGACCTGCCCGACGTACCCCACACACAGCCCACCCCCTGCGCGTGGCCGATCGACGCTGCCGCTCCTCCCCGAGTCGCGCCTCCTGGGGCGACGGCAGCCGCGGCTCGCCGCCGGGCCAGAGGCGCTCCCCCAGGGAGTCCTCCAGCGGGGCTGGACCCTTCACGCTGTTCTTCGAGGAGGAGGAGGAGGAGGAGGAGGAGGAGGCGGAGGAGGAAGAGGAGGAGGAGGAGGAGGAGGAGGAGGAGGGGGAGGGGGAGGGCCAAGACCGTGCCAGGCCAGGGCCATCCTGGGCCCCAGGATGGTGTATAAGCCCTCCTGGCCGAGCCAGGAGGGCCTATACTATACACCATCCTGCGACCCAGGAGGGCCCTGGCCTGGCACGGTGGCGGTGTACAGATGCCCTCGTTCTGTTCTGCCCTGCTTTCCCTGTACCTCCCTGCCAAGACAAAAAAAAAAACAAGACACGGCCGAAATCCAGCACAACGGCGCTGAGGTCCAGCCCCGGTCCTCCAGCGCCTCGGCCACCGCGGCGCAGAGCGGCGGGGGCAGCGCCGCGAGGTGCAGCACCAGGAGCACGGGCCACGGGTTCTCCTCGAACGCGTGCCGGCCGAGGAGGCCGAGCGCGTCTCGGAGGGGGGCGCGGCCTCGCTGCAGCAGGACCTGCACGGCCCCGCCCTCCTGCGGCGGTTCTCAGAGGAGGGCAGGGTGAGACAAGGGTGACGTTTTTGCCTTTTTCGCCTCCAAGGGGCCTCCTCGTCGCCACGGCTGGACGCAGCGTGAAAAATCGGTGCGTTTGGACCCCGGGAGGGGTCCGGGGTCCGAATTTGAGCCGAGTTGGCCACCGTTGTCTCACGGCCGTTGTCTCACGTTGCCCTCTTCCGAGGTTCGGAGGTTGGGTCCTGAGGGATGGGGTCCTAAGGGCAAGGTGCCCCCAAAGATGCAACTCCACCCTAGGGGGGCCCGTCCTATCCCTGTGGAGGCATCCTGGATGAGCTGCGAGTAGATGGGGTCGGAACGATAGCACCGCATCGGCGATGCATGAGTGATGCATCGGCGACTTCGGCGATGCACCGCGCCGTCGGCGTGGCGAAAATCGGGCTCCACGTCGTGCTGCATCGGCGATGCAACGGCGATGCGGCGCGATCCTCCGACCCCATCTGCTCGGACCCCATCTGGGAGGTCTAGATCCTATCCTAGAGGGCAGAAAATCCACCCCCACAATAAGAAACACCCTGGCACCCGAAGCCGTTTCGCAAACGCACCCAAAACAGGAATCAAACAGGGCAGGGCGCTGTTTGGTAAACGCCCAAAGCCGTTTAGCAAGCGCCAATTTTCGGGTCCGGGTGGTTTTCCTCCCTTGATCTCCTTTTGAGCAAGGACCGACCGTCCTGGCATTTCTATCGGCCTGCCACGAATCTGTTCTAGTAACCAAAGCAATGTTCTTAGAACCGAAGTCCGATGTGAAAGACAAACTCAGCCAGAAAGATTCCAATAACAGTTCGTGCACACTACAAGCATGTCCTCGGACCATTCTCTGGTGGGCCTGTAGGCGAGCCAGGACGCTCCGCCACTGCTTGATCCCTGGAGTACCCTTAGGACCCACCCATCAGGACCCCATCTGTGAACCACCGACTCCTGAGCCAGGGCCCAGCACAAGCAGCGGCAGCCGGCCTGCAGCGCGCGGAGGAGCGGCTGCGCCTCGGGCAGCGCCTCCTGCCGGCCGTGCGGCGCCGCCCCCGCCTCCGCGGCCAGAGGCTGCGCGGGGGGGTCCTGGTAGACGTGGTGCGAGGCGGCGATCCAGTATTCGGACAGCGGCCTTTAGAGGCCACCTGGATGGGGTCGGAGCAGATGGGGTCGGAGGATCACGCCGCGTCGCCGATGCATCGCCGATGCACCGTCGATGCGTCGCCGACGTGGGCGACTCATCGGCGACGTCGGCGTGGAGAAACGCGGGCCCCGCATCGAGCCGCATCGTCGATGCATCGGCGATGCGTCGCGGTCCTCCGACCCCGTCTACTCCGACCCCCTCGAGGAGGCCCAGAGCCTTGTCATGTCCTGGCTCACAGAGGCGCTGTCGGAGTCCACCACGGAATTCGACTGCGAGCAGAAATACTTGGCAAGCCCCAGCAGCGACAAGCTCTTTTCTGCGCCGGCGCCCAGGACGTCCGGAGGACCCAGCCCGTCCACCCTCCGCTGCTCCTCCTCGACCTGCCGCTTGTCTGCGCACTGGGCCTTCACCTGGAACAGGTCCCAGTTCTGGCGCGGGATGCGGTGCAACTTACCCTCATCGAAGAGTCTCCGCAAGTCGGGGTCCCGGTCCCAGCGCAGCTGGTCCACCAGCAGCAGATCGAGCACTACCTTCTTTTATTTTTCTTTCCACCCGCCGAGCGCTACGACGGATTTAGTTTTTTTTTTGTGGAGGGCGACGAGGGAACGAGGGAGAGGAGGAGGAAGACGAGGCCGAGGGGGACGCAACGACAACCCCAAAGCGCAGAAACGACAAAGCGGGAGGACAGGAAACGAGAGGGGAGGCGACAGAGCGACGAGACAAGACGACAACAGGCAACGCGAGACGAGACAGATCGAGCACTACCTGCCAGAACTCCTCGAACGCCACGGCGTGGATGTCCGCTGCCGCCCGGCCGAAGAGTTCGGCACGGGGGGCGGGATCCATGGACAGAGCAGCAAACAGTCGCATGAACATGAACTTTCGGAGGCCCGCGCGGAACTCTTGGATCGGTGCTGGGCCGGCGGCGCCCGAGGCGCCGCCACTCAGGAGGGCAAAAAGAGTCACTACCACCAGAACGCCACATGACTCCCTTCCCAGAGTCCCCCCCTCCTCCCCTGCGCTGGTGGCATTGGGTCGGGCGTGTCCCCCTACAACGGGATTTTCGACGACGAATACAAATCTATAAAAAACAGTGAGAAACCAACAAATACCCAACAAATGATACCCATAATATTGGTTTGGCGATTTTTTGATGACTATTGTTTGACTTTTTTGTCGAAAATTTGTTGGACTATTTGAGGATTTTTTTGACGATTTTTTCGTCGAAAATCCCCCTGTAGGGTGACAGCCTCGACTTCATGGTGGCACTCCGTTCCCGGCACTCTCCGGCCTGGGGGCGCGCCCAGGACGACGGGGCGCCGCCAGCTCTGCAGGGGGGGGGGGGGGGGGGGGGGGGCAGCCCGCCCTCCTCCTCCTCCTCCTCCTCCTCCTCCTCCTCCTGCTCCTCCTCCTCCTCCTCCTCCGCCTCCTCCTCCTCCCCCGCCCTGCTGGTGGTGGTGGTGGCGGTTCTAGGGGGCCACGTGCGAACCCTACCCCTACCCCCCCAACGACTTCTGAGACGGAGGGTGGGGCTCACCTCGCGCGGGAGCTCTCCCGAGCGAAGGGAACCCCACCCTCCCCCTCGGAAATCGTAGGGGGTAGGGGGTAGGGTTCGCACGTGGGGTCCCCTAGGTTCTCTATCTCTCTCTCTCTCTCTATCCTCCTGGTGAGCAACGGAGGCCCCGGCGCCGATGCAAGCGCTCCGCGCGGCCCTCCGACAGTGCATGCCCGACGCCAGCTGTTGCCCCTCGGCTGGAGGAGGCGCTCCCCCGGCCGCCGGAGGGCCCCTCGGGGGCGAGCAGCTCCCACAGCAGCGCCGCGCACGTGGAGCTGCTCCTCGTGTCGCTCCTGGCCTGCCGCGCCCTCGCGAGCCCGATTCCTCGGGGGCGCGCAGGGGGTGGCGCAGGGGCAGGGAGGTGGGGCTCGAGGACAACCGTTCAAGCTGGCCCGTGCAGGGAGGAAGCGTGGGTATATCCAGTTGGGTAGTATATGCTCCCTGGCCCCACCTTGGGATACCACCCCCCCCCACGGTGAGGTCGGGCATGTCCCCCTGCAGGCGGATTTTGGGCGAAAAGCTAGACATACGCACTACAGAAAGACAAACAAGTTAAGCAAAATACTCAAAAAAAATCGTCCCAAGACTATGTTCGGCTATTTTTAGATATTCCTCCTGTAGGGGCACAGGCCCGACTTAAATCTACGAGTCCCCCCCCTTCCGGACGGCCGCGCTGTTCCAGACGGCCGCGCTGATGGCTCCGCCGCGTCCCACAGCTCCTTGCAGGGGAGCGTTTTGCGGTCGGGAGCTTCAGCTTTTGGCGTGCCGCGGCGACGGCGCTGGTGACACGCCATGCCTCGCAGGCGAGCAGCACGTCGCTCCAACGGGCGGGAGGAGAGCCCTCAAGGAGCTCGGGAAGTTTTCGTCCAGGGTTCCAGGAAGCGGTGAGCGTGTTGCGACGGAGCGTGGTGGGCCGGAACCGGCGGCGCGTCACGCTATGCCAAAGCTGCCGACCTTAGGGGGAGAGGCGGGCTAGGGACCCAGACCCCAGACGCCGTGACTTGTTCACAACGTCGACACCCAGAAGTCTCGCTTCCTTCTCCGAGGCCCGGTAAGGGCCCCTGGAGGCCAACAATACTGAGAAACCTCCCGTCGCGATTTTTTCACAACGCGAGGGGGTTTGGGAAGGGGGGAACATCGAGCTGGCGACACAACGCCGATAGATCGGCGACGGGCCCCGGATAGCGAATCCTTACGCTGCTGGGCGGAACGGGCAATCGGGCCCCTGTGGGCGACTGGGGGGGATGATGCGCCCCCCCCTGAGCCGTGGATGCTCATTCTCAGGACATTCCTGGAGACACTCGCTCCGTTCTTGCGTCGAAGTTGCGTCGAACGTCCGTCGATTTGAATCGACCCTGAGTCGAACCTGAGTCGAACTCGAGTCGAACTTGAGCCGAACTTGAATCGAACTTGAGTCGAAGTGGGGTCGAACAGATCCGTTAGGTGGGCCCCGGGAAGGTCAAGCCCGTTCCCCCCCCCCTGACGTTGCCCCTGAACTTCCCGACCTGGCCTTTGGGTCAATGCTCGGCTCTCAGGCGGCCTTTCGGTCGGGGATCTACTGGCCCGGGTCAATCCAAACCCGAGTCAGTCAGGATTTTCAGGATCATGCAAGATCCGGCGCTCTGACTGACCCCCGCTTGCATTGATCCCCGTTTCAAGGCCCCCGACTCGGGACGATCCCGGCATCCTCGGAGCACTACTGGCGAGGCGCAGCTGCAGTAGAGTACCCCGAAGCTGGACAACGGCCGACAACCAACGAACAGATTACGTATTCCGTCGGCGGCGAGGCAGCGTTCGCTGCACCAGCGAATGAGCTGGACGGGGGCACCGAAAAGCGCATTGGCCAGCGCGACAACCAACGAGAACATGCGAGAACCTCGAACCACAATCAGACCACGACGTCGTGTCGAGTTTTGTTGGCACGACATGGATACCACGAGGCACGGACCCCGTCTCTCGGGACCAGCTTTTCGGCAGGGCCATTCTTACGCCCCGCAGCGCGCCACATTCCAGACCTTCGGGACTCCAGGGCGCACCGGCGCCGAAGACGAGCGCGCAGAGAACGCAGAAGCGCGGCCTATATTTCGGCCGCGTGCGCTCTGATCTTGTGGCCTTCACATGAGGATGCAACATGGAGGGGGAGGAATGGAGGATCAGGGAAAGGAGGGAGGAGTAGGGTCAGGATAACAGCAGAGGAGAGAAGCAGCAAGGAGGACAGGAAAGGGGATGAGAAGGAGGAGATGGACAGAGGACAGAGCAGGGTGAAGCAGGGTCAGGATAACAACAAAAAAAGCAAGGAGGACAGGAAAGAGGAGGAGGAGGAGGAGGAGGAGGACGAGGACAGAGGACAGAGCAGCAGCAGCAGCAGCAGCGTCTGCAGGAGCGGCAGGAGCAGCAGCCGAAGGAAGGAGAGGACAGGGAGTCATGACAACGACGAAAAGGGCCGAGAAAGAAGAGGAGGAGGAGGAACCCGATGGCAAGGAGGAACAGGGAGGAGGCAGGAGCGGGTCGACGGGAGAATCTGTGGCTCCGCCTGCCTCGATCGTCCTTCCTGCCTTCCTGTGGCAGACGGACCGCCCGGGCGACGAAGAGGCTTGGGATGAGGAAGGAGCAGATGCAGGACCAGTGGGAGAGGGGACGAGGAGGGGGAGGGGGGGGGAGGAGGAGGAGGAGGAGGAGGAGGAGGAGGAGGAGGAGGAGGAGGAGGAGGAGGAGGAGGAGGTAGATGAGCATGAGTACAGTGGAGGCCAGTCCACAAGAAACCTTCCACAAGAAGCCCAACCCTGAGACCCCAGGGCGTCCATGGATGTTGGTGTGGGAACGTCAGGTCTTCCATCGCAAGACCATCGGAACCCAAGAAAACCGGGGCACCCCGGAGGCAAGCAGGGTGTTTCTTGGCATGGGCCTCCACTGCAGCAGCAGGAGGACGATCAGCTGGAGGAGCAGGCTGACGATGGATGAGTAGGAGGGGAAGCAGCTGTGAAGACGGCAGGAAGAGGAGGAGGAGGAGGAGGAGGAGGAAGGAAGAAGGAGGAAGGAGGAAGGAAGGACGGAAGGAAGGAAGGAGGAGAAGGAAGGAAGGAAGGAAGGACGGAAGGAAGGAGGAGGAGGAGGAGGAGGAGGCGGCGGAGGAGGAGGATGAGGACCAGGAGGAGGAGGAAGGGGGAGGAAGGAAGGAGGAGGAACAAGAGGAGGAGGGGGATACAGGGCCATCAGAAGGCAGCGCAAGCAAAGAATGGCAGAGCGGCGGAAGGGGCGCAGGGGTCCAGGGGGAGGAGGGCGACCCTCACGCTTATCGGAAGCCTCAGCTCATCCTGCTCCTCCTGCTTTTCCTCCTCCTCCTCCTCTTCCTCCTCCTGCTCCTCATCCGCCTTCTCCCCCTTCTCCTTCCCCTCCTCCTCCTCCTCCTCCTCCTCCCCCTCCTCCTCCTCCTCACCCTCCTCCTCCTCCTCCTCCTCCTCCTCCTCCTCTTCCTCCTCCTCTTCCTCCTCTCCCTTTCCTCCTCATCCTTCTCCCCCTCCTCCTCCTCCTCCTCCCTCTCCTCCTCCTCCTCCTCCCCCCCTCCTCCTCCTCCTCCTCCTCCTCCTCCTAATTACTCCTCCTCCTCCTCCTCCTCCTCTTCCTCCTCCTCTCCATCGCCTCCTCCTCCTCCTCCTCGTCTTCCTCCTCCCCTCCCTTTCCTCCTCCTCCTCCTCCCCCTCCCTCTCCCCCTCACGTGGCTCACGCTCCCTCCTCCCTCCTGTGTAAGCGGAGGGGCCGGCCGGTCTCGCGCTGTCTCCGGGTGCCTTGCCGAGCCGAGGCGCGGCTCCGCAGTGCGGATGACAGTCGGACCCTGCAGTCGGGACGTCGACCTAGGGAAGCCTAAATAAGGAAGGAGGCCCCTTTTTCCAATCAGCTGAAGCTCGATTTCCCATCGGAGACCCAAGGAAAACCAAAGGCAAGCTGTGACACAATCAAAGCTGTGAAACAATCAAGGAGCACGGAGCCTCTCCCCAACGGAAAGGGCTTCTTCTTCTTCTTCAGCCCACCGACTGTATCGTGAGGATGCGCGATCAGGATGCAAGGGCCCTGGGAAGCCGGTTCGAAGCGTCGCGAGCGGGGCGCGGCCCACGGAAGCAGCCAAGGATGGGCCGAAGGGGGAAGGATGCAAGGGCACCCCTGGAACAGTCGCTCCTCCTTAATTACTATGCGGGTTGACCGTATTGGTCCTCTTTGTGTTGCCGCTGTCGCCGTCGGTCCGCACGTGTCTCCCGAAACGCTTCTCCTGGGCCACCCCTCAATGGAGCCCCTGAGTGCCCCCTCGCAGTTTCCTCCTGAGGCCCGAGGCCAATGTTTTGGGCTCGCCAGTGGCCCAAAGGGGGCCCCGAGAAGGCCCCCGCGACGCACCAGGAGCCTCAAAGGGAGCCCCGGGAGGGCCGCAAGAGACGCCCCCCCCAAAAAAATCGTGCACGAAGGCAAGAGCACGAGGAGGGGATCTACAGGACGTGAATGTCGTTGGTCGTGAGGGGGGGGCTTCTTTTTGGACACCCGAAATGTGTACCGAAAGAATGGGTACAATGCCCGACAACAGATGTTGCCCCAAACCAGCAGCGGCCGCTGCTGGGCAGGCGGCCTCCTGTCTCAAATGGACACAGGCCGCGGCGGCGCGGACAGCGAGCCCTGTTCAAAATGATGAGCAGGAGCTGCCGTTGGGCATTGTACCCATTCTTTCGGGGATGGACAGACCCCCCTTTAGCAAAACGTGGTTTAGTGAAAACGACCTGAAGCCCAAACCTGGCGGGCGCAAGCCTGGGAAATAACGGCCACGGCGCCCTCTCGAAAATCGAAAACGGACAATTCACTAATCGACGTGTCACTGTTGGGGGTTTTGTCCGCCCCCGATTCTTTCCGTACCCATTCCGGGCGTCCAGATTCTTGGGACGCCCCCCGGGCCGGGGCCGCTCAGGAACCCTATCGAGGAGGCGCTGGCCACGGAGGGTGGCCGGGCTCGGTCGCTGCCCCGACGGCGCAGCAGAGAAGAGCATGCCGTGCTCCAGAAGTGCAGTACAGTCGGGGCGTTGACCTAAGGAACCCGAAATAAGGAACGGGACCCATTTCTCCCACAAGTTGAGCTTCGATTTCCCATGGAACATCTCAGGAACACAGAGGGCAAACTGTAGAACAATCAAGGCACGCCGAGCCCCTGCCCAACGAAAAGGGTTCCTTCTTCAGGGCCCCGACGGTACGGCCCGCCTAATCCCTGCTAGGCAAGATCAGCTTCCCCCACGTGAGCCGCAACAAGGTCCACGACACCCCTAGGACGGGCCTTGTCAAATGCGAAAGAGCGACCGCCGCTTTACTGAGGAAAATTGCCAACCTTTGCCTCCGGAGCCCGGGGATCGCCCCCCCCCCCCCTCCGAAAATCCCCCCCCCCCCCCTCTGGAACCCCTCCCCCCCCCCCCCCCTCCCCCGGCAAAAGCCCCCCCCTCCCCTAACCCTCCCCCCCCCCCTCCCCCTCGAAAGCCGGGGGGGGTCACTACCGGTTCGAACCCCCCCACCCCCCTCCGGATCCGGAAAACCGGGGGGGGTCACTACCGGTTCGAACCCCCCCACCCCCCTCGAAAACCGGAGGGGGATCACTACCGGTTCGAACCCCTCCCTACCCCCCCACTCACCGCCAGCAAACGACTCCCGGTCCCTACCACCGTCCGCATCACATCCTCCACTGTTGTTCCCAGCA